AAGGCGATCGCAACCCTTGGCTTGGTTTTCCCGCACCGCGCTCAACCAGTGAGCGCACCGGCCATCCCTATATAGGATCCGAACCTGCGGTGGGAGCGCTGCTGCGCTCCCAGCGCCACGGGGCCGGCCCTCAATGAACTTTTTAAGTACCCTTGTACTTCTTCCTGTTAATTTTAGCATCCATTGATAATTCTTGATCAGAACTTTTTAAATTTAATTATTTAACATCTTTTTGTTTCATTGTTGACCATTACACCATTTTTCTTGTCGTAAATGGATAAGAATCCCAAAGGATTAATGTAAAGGCAGTCGAATTCATAACTAATGTATTTCTTGCTATATATTTTTTCATACTTATCTTTTTCTCAGTGTACACATTATGAATGATGTAGCACACCCATAGGAAAATAAACAGGTGAAGAAGATGCTAGAGAGGTAAAAGTAATGGATAGGTTAATTGTGAAAAAAAGTATTAGAGTAATTTAGAGATTTTCTTAAAATTACTTTCACTGAGGTTTCTTTTTTGTCAAATATACAAGCCTTTTCTTAAAAGAGTCAATAATAAATTTGAGTATTTTTGTATTTGGTCCTCTCGACTCTAGGTAGCCTTTTTTTATAGTCAATATAATTTGTGCAGATATATTTTTATAATTGCTTTTTATCTTTTAACTTATAGTGGATTAAGTGCACTGAAAAATGTATTGTGGATTGTTCCTTTTTCGTCTGTTTTACTTCTTTATCCTATATCTTAGTCAGTGGAGCATGAAGACACATTTGGCTTAGCTGTCTATTGTCTTTTAACAAACTTATGACATTTGAATCTAGTGGAGTAACTTGAATTCCAGTAACATTTTTTGATGGTATCTTTAACAAAAAGGTTGAAGAGAAAATATATTGATAATGGAATTTGGTTAGATGTTATGCTCTTAAAACATTCTATTAGGTTTTTTCATTTTCATTAAATTTCTCTTCTCTTTTAGGAAATTGCTTTCCATGATTAAGTGTGTGTCCTCGTAATGCTATGCAGTCCCTTAAGTTCCTGGCTTTCCTCCTTTTTTTTTTTTTTAAAGGTGTTTTCCATTTGACGATACATATAAGATTTGTGGATTAGAAATAATCTTCTTTTCCTCTAGAGTCAATAAAATACCTTAGCTAACTAATTCTAAGGATGGTGGATTTTGTTCATTTTGGAGCAAGATCTCTTACTTTTTGAAATTGAAAATCTGAAATTGGATGTTCTGGCAATATCTGGTTTATTACTACGTTTAGATCTCTGAAAAGGAACATTAGAAAGTCTATGATGTGTTTTATGATTTGGCTAAAATTTGTATCATATCAGAATAATACTTTTGAAGTTTCTGATTACCATGCTCAAAATCATAGATGCTGATGATCACCCAAAGGGATAGATTCATGAAAGTAATACTTTTGATAAAGATTTTGCTTCCCTTAGGATTAGAAAGTTGAACTTTTTAGTGCCTACTTTAGATATCAGGCTTTTCACAACACTTTTTTTCTCACTCTGTTTCTTGATCAGTAGACTTCATTCATTTGTAAAACATTTACTGAATTATTTACTTAATGTGCCAAGGACTAGGGGCTAGAGATACAAAGACTCACTGCTTCTGTCAAGGATGTTCTTTCCTTTTCTTCTTACTGCCAGCTGGGACTGTTTCAGACACTGACAGGAATTTATGAGTTATTTTTCTTTAGAGAAGTGCCTTAGAAACCAGTGAATAAGTGATAAAAAGATAAGTAAGATAAAGATTTTGCATCATGCCTCCAACTCATGTGGAATGTCTCATTTTATGAATTCATAAATTTATAAACTAGCAAGTTCAACTTTAGATCAGTCAGTAACGACAAGTGAATAGACGTCATAGTCTTTGTAAAAAGATGTTACCTTCTATTTTATTGCTTAAAAATAGTTAGGTGCAGCCTTCCCTTTTCTTTGATACTAGAAATGCTTAAAACTAATAAGCCATATATGCTTATTTAATAATTTAGTATTGAGAAGAAATATTGCAAATAGCCTAATTAGATGTAAATCTCAGAAGAATTTCTCAGTAGTATTTATACATAAAATACTTAGATTTATTATTTCTGGTTTGAATATGACTGGACTTTCAGTAAGAATCTTTAAAAATTTAAGTCTTTCTGGAAATTATTAAAATAAATTTATTGGTTTATTGGTAGATTAATAGACCTATAACACCCATGTGAAGTGGCATCTTAACATTGCTGATTTCGTTAGCTTTGGTTTGAAAGTTATTCTCTAGTGATAAGTCCAGCAGTGAATATTTTCTTGTTTGAAAAATGACCTCATTTTGAAAGCACCTTTACATTTTTCCATATAAATGATACATTATAGAATACATAGTCTTCATACATTATTAGCTCTTGAAGCAAGAGAGATACCAGCTCTCCTCAGTGATTCTAAAATAATTTCTATGTAGAGAAATCTCTTTATTCGTTTCTGAATATGAGTATGTTGAATCAGGAAATGTTGGTACCTCAGGCAAAATAAAGAAGTTATATTCTGAAAATGATCTGACATGGGAGCAGCTCATAAATGGATCTGTTTCTCCAGCCAACTGTCATGTTTAACTTGCCATGTAACCTAACCTAAGGATATTTGTGTTTTTTCAAATTTAAGTTTGTTGTATTTTTTAATGTATATTCTGTGGGATATGATAAATAAATCAAAGGTTTAGAGGTGCTTAACTTAAATCTCCTACTGAACGAGAAATTGTAAACTTAGCCCAATATTAATCTGAGCAAGATATGATTTCCTGGGAGTTGTTTTTCATTTTCAAAGTGAAGCAGGCCTAGAAGCTTAAAAATAAATTACCAGGTGTATTTATTGTTTCAAAATGGACCTCTTCTTTTTTGACTGAATTTTCAGTATATGTTATATAATCAGTATGTTATAATCAGTAATATGTTATTACTGATTAGTATTCAGAAATTGAAGGAAAATTGGGAAATTGGAAAATCATGTCTTGTTTATAATTTCTGAATAGGTTTTAACTATCTTAATCAAAGTGTTAGGTTTTATGTAGATTTCATTAGAAATCTTAGATAATTCTCATGGTTAGTATTGAAATATTGCTATATATGAAAAAGAATGATTTGTCAGGGAAGTTGACTAGGGAAGACTAGGGAATGATTGTTTAATAGATAATTTTTATTTAATTTCTTAAGTTAAAAAAATTTTTTTTTATCAATATACAGAGTAGTTAATTTTCATGTCCCTTTACCAATTCCTTTTTTTCCCCTGATAAATAATTTTTAAAGCACTTTTGTAGCACCTATTTACACTGTATAGGTACAATGAAAATGTGTGTAAGCTCTAATGTACTAATTTTAAGCCTTTCTCATCTGTTAAAGAGCCACTTCTTAAGAACTTCAGCTGTGGGATACTCTGTTAATCTATTTGGGTTTTTTTTTTTTTTACTCTTTAAAATGTCTAATTAGATTGCATTTCTTGAGATATTCAGTAATCAAATCTTTTTTCAAATCAGTTCTCCTTCTCATCATCCCTTATATATCTCCTCAATGTGATTATACCGTAAAATATTCTTCTTAATGCACTAATCTAAAAATATAGTCTCTTCAAAACTGAGAGACTTTAGGGCTTAAAATCTATTGGATACTTAAAAGGAAAAAATAGTTGCCACTTAGGCTCTCAAAGTACTTTTGTAGTTATTTATTTGATACCTTATGCTAGATGGCAATTTCACCTTCTTGTCTTCTTTCAGGTTTTTTTCATGTCTTTCTTTTAATTTTTGGGAATTACAGATATGATGGTTTAAATTCATAGGTTTCCTTTTCTTAGGCCAGGCTATTTTCGTTTCTCATTTGTACAGTATTGAATATGTTCCAAAGCAGAAGAGTTAGTTCGTTCTTTTCATCTTTAGGCTTTTAAAAAATTTAGTGTAAATGTTGTTAGGTGATGGAATAACTATTCCTTTGCAGCATTCGGTATATTTCCAAACTGGCTGACAGAGCCAGGAGGAAGTGAAGGCATTAAAACACTACCTTTGGTTTGTTGCTATCTTCTTAGTGCTGAGACTGTAACCTTTGTTGGTTGATAGAGAACAAGAAAGCACAATCCTCGTTCCACTAACAGGTAAGGAACCCTTGTGATAACCAGTTGGCGTGAGAGGGAGATTATTTGATAGCATTTTTTTTTCTTAATTTATCCCCAAATTTTTATGTCCCAGAAACAGGACACTGTGACTGACTATATATTCTGTAGAGCAGGGATATGCAGCACTTTTATATTTAGAATAAGACCTGAAATTTAATAGGGATGTATCACTCTGTTTCACAAAGTATAATTGATCTGTTTTCCAAAGGCAGCACTGTTAAAATTTATCCTGCAGTCCCTATAACTTTAAATACATATTTGCCTATCTTACTCTCTTTTCAGCTTTTCCTTGATCAGATGCTGTTTGCTTTGAACTTCCTTCTCTTATTTACCTTATTCCTATAGTAAAGCTAACTGTTTTCCAGCATCTTTACCATCATCTACTACTTGGGTATATCTTACTGCTTTAATTTGTACATTATAGTCATTAATGATTATTCCTGGTCCTTCTTGACCCCCAAAATTATCATGCATTTTAAAAAGATTTTGAGCCTGTATTACCTATGTTTACTATTCTGACCTCCCACTTCTCAAGATGAGTGCTTAAGGAATAAACCTTTTTCAGGTATAGCAGTCGTACATTTAATAAAATGCAGGTTTAGCTTTGTATTGCTATAATATGGGCCTGTAGTATGATTAATTCTTTAAATTACTGAAGACTTGAAAACCGAGAGCAAATTCAGCTTCTTAGATATTCCCAAAGTTTAGTAGTATTCCTGTTAATATGCCTTATTATTCTGTTTCTGCTTTTCAATCCATCTTCTTCTCTTTGACAGAAGAATTAAGTGGGACTCCTCCTTTGATATATCTGAGGTTGAGTGCCTTTTCCCTGTACCCTTAAGATAACTATTATTTCCAGTCATAATTTATCATTTTTTAAATTCGGTCTTCCACTCAAAAGTGAGTGGTTTGTCAGAGTATGTTATGGCTTAGACCAATACAGGTCACTTCTTAACAATTAGTGAGGAATTAATCATTTGTGGTGATAGACTTCTAAAATTCACATTGAGAAGACACTAAGGATAGTATGGCCAAAGTTAGCTCCTTTTTATCCTGAGGATAAACCATTGCAAACTCAATTGACAAGAGAATGTAATTTCTTAATAAGAATTTTTTTCTTAAATCTATATTCAGCTCTCTATTTCAGTGCTTCTCTCCTACCAGAGGTGCAAGGAGTGATCCTAGAACCACAGATACAGCCAAGACCACGGAGAGCTTTTGACGTCAGGGGTCCACTTTCTCCACTGAACCCTTGGAGGCAGAATATCCAGCTTCTGGAGAGAGTGGGAAAGGATAATAACAAGTGGGTGCTTTCCATTATTTACTTGGGTTTATTTATAAATTGGAGTGTCCTTCCATTGCCCATTTAATTCTATCGGTAAACTCCTTGGGTTAATATAAGAAGCAGGAGGGGCTTCAGTCTGTTTTTCCAAGAATGCTAACCAGTGCCCATTCAAAAAAGAGACCTAAAATTTATTTAATTTTCTCTCCAGATAACTAAAGGCAGTGGATGATCTGGGGTACGTGATTTGGTGAATGCCTGTGTAGTCCACAGGAATTTTAAAAAGGGAATATTTACCTATTTTGGCCTTTATGGTATTAGTGGACTTCTGAGTGCTCTTTTTATATTCCAGTAAGTTAAAAGTTTCTGTATTTTATATTTGGGCAAACGACATCTGAAATCTCCTAATCTGTACAGTCAGATGCCCAGGTGTTATCCTAACCTATTAGTGAGAACTTTTTGGTCTTTTTCCTACCACAAACATTAGGACTTCATATTATGTCTTTTAGAAGATGCAATGATAGTACCATTATGGTTTCACTGTAAGTTTCAGGATATAATATCCCTGAAAGTTATGTTTAATATACTCAAAAGTAGTTTTCTAGTCCCTAGGAGTAATGTTATTTGTGGCAAAAGACCCTTTTCCTAGATTTTCCCCTTGGCATTAAGATGATTTTCTCATAGTTTCTTTGATGCCAAGGGTAGGATTTGATTCTAGGAAGTTCTTATCATCTCCAGTGGGTAGAATGTGAACTTGGTGCCTTTGGCAAGTTTTCATTTTTCCTTGGTGGATTCCTTCTGTGACTCCAGGTATCTTGATAATGGGAGACTGGTTTATTTGTTCTCTAATTGCCCAGATTTCTTTCAACTGCTAAAACATCATACTTCTTCAGCAAAAGGAATTCTTCTAGCAGAGCCCTCATGGATGATATCTGTCACACATGCCAGCACCTGCAGTTTGGAAGGCAGTGGTGAATGGATCCATGCAATATGTCTAGAAGATAACAAGGATGAGCGAGCCACCTGATCTTGTCATTTATAAACTTTGAGATTTACTTTGGTTTACTCTTGGTCTGAAAATGGAAAGGCTCAAATAATGAAATAATCTTTTCAGATTGGAATTTACATGGCCATGAAAATATCCCTTTCTATTCAGAAGATTGAAATAGAGGAAGCTTGAGAGACTCCTTTCTTTTAAAAGCAGCTCTCTATCTGTTTCACTTAAAAGATTTGTGGGATTGAAAATCACCTTACTGAAGTAGACAAGCTTTTATTTTTTTATTTTTTTAAGTGGTAGAGGAAGTCCAAAAAACGTAATGAAATGGTTTTTTGTTGCCTAACATTGAAAGGAACTAGTAAATAAAGGGTGAACTTCTTAATTATTCAAAAATTACTTTTAATGTTTTAGCTCATCTTTTGCTGATCTTCAGCCTTATTCTTACTGTATTTGTCAAATCAACAAAGATTTTAATATAGAAGTAGACGAGATATCTTTTGAGATCAGAGTAGCTTGGTCTGTCTTCTAAAGTAATAAATACCTGTTAAAACTTGACGTATTGTTCTGCACTGAAGGCATACTAAAGTTTGAATAATACTGTCACAAAGTAGTTGTTTAAAGAGCAAAGGAAATTAGTAGTATTAGTGTAAGCCTATAGGTGTGACTAAGTGTTGCAGAATAGTTATCCAAACTATCAATTAATTGATAAAAGTAGTTATCAAAATGTTTCACTTTCTCTGTTTGGTATCTATTAACTGGTCAGTTAAAAGCTATTAAAGAAATTTTTTAAAGTCATCCGATGCTGCCAGTTGTTTTATTTTGATATAAATTTTAAGAATAGAAGTTCTAGATTTATTAATATAGAGGCAACTAAAAAGTTTAGAATCTCAAAGGTTTTAGAAGCTGCATTTCCTAAAATATAATCCAGTGTTTAGTCTTTCTTTGCTGTCTGTGAGGACTGTTTTGTCCTGATTAATTGTAAACAAACTTTTGTAAGTGCTTAAAAGTAAGTTTAGAAGATCAATTTGAACTAAAATTTTCCCAGAGAGCTCTGAATCCTCACATTGCAGCTCTTTATTCCTGACTTGTTTTTGTTAAATGTTAATGACAGTTGGTTTACAAACACATAAAAACTAAAAAACAACCACCCAACATTTTAGAAAGAACTCAGGGAACTGAAAGTGAAATTTGCTTGGAAATTAAGTTAGTTGAATTATTTGAACCACAGTATAAATCACTTTATGGCCTGTGAGATTATTAGCTTTTTATTTCCAGCTTTGTAGATGAAAATTGGTTTAATCTGGTAATCTCATGCTTTGATTAAATTTTAGCTCTGTTTCTTAGTGTGCAAAAGAAATGTAAGTGCATTTCTGTTTACCTCATGCCACTGAAAGCTATCTAAAAGTGAAACTTTTTGTATGTTAATGTGAACTGATTTGTTTATTTAAACTTTTATTTTGATACATTTTTCTATCAGAATTTTTTATATTTCGTGTTACAATATGCATCCTATATTTTTCAGTGTTATTTTATGACTATTAATATAAGCTAATTTTTTCTAGAATGAGTAATTGTGTTAATGTTTGTATTATGTGATCATTTGAAAACTAATAAATATTTTCTCCATGAAAAAATGCACTTACTGATAAATGGCTTATTTCTGTTTCAGGAGTAGAAAGTGAATACTGCAACAGTATTTCTAAGTGTATTTTAATTTGATGTGTCTTCCTCTAAGTATTTCTGAATATATATATTCTGTTCTCTGTATATTGTAATTTTTTGAGGAAAAAACTTTTTTTAAACTGTTAAAATGATTCTTTGTAAGGTCATGTGAATGTATGAAATAGGTGGTTTGTTTAGTTTGATTTTTTATTTTCCTGATTAACATTATCTTAGCATTGGTTCTAGAGGTGAATTTTTTTTATGCCATTTTTATATGTCAGTTTTGCAAACTATTAAAACTCTCTTGGGTTAACATTGTAAATATCAGGAGTAATTTGGTCAAATCTTTTAAAGATAGATTGATCAAAGTATATAACCTGTTTACAAAATAGCATACAAAAACAGTACCTCTACCCAGAAAAAAAAAAAAATTGAAAATAATGGCTGATTGGAGAACTACCTAATTGATAAATCCTGTTAACAAGAGAACAAAAATGTTTTGTATTTTATTGTTCTTTTTGAACAAATAATTATAGAAGGAGAAATCTTGACCCTCACAGTCTCTTGCTTTTAACCTTATCAAGACAGCATGGAGAAGGGTAAAATCTGGTTTTAATGATTTTTGTCTCTATAGCTATATAACCTTACTTTATTGAAGCCACTGGAACAGTTTTCCTTTTCTATGCAGGATCTGCTAGAAGCAAGAGGATTTCTTTTTAGATTTGAAGAAAAGTTATATAAGAAATGGACTCAAAATTAAAAGTAGACATTAAAATGGCATCTTTGGCAAGAAATAAAAATTCAATTAATGACAACCTGTGGATTAAAATGAAATAATTTGGCTCCCCAAAGAAATTATACTCTGAGAAAACAAGAATTATAAAAGGAAATTACAATTTAGAATAGCCACTATATTGGGGGTGAATTTGGTAAATTTGGGAAAGATGAGTAAAAATTCTGTGTGCAAAATTTTGTTTTAAGAATTAAAGCTATTAAAAGATTTACAGACATAGTATATTTCAATAGAAGGCTGTATTTTACTTGAATACAAGAAAAATTTGCAAGCCTTTCCTGTATGCGTATAAAAGGGTAGGGGATTTGGTGTTAAAAAATATCCATACTGGAAACTTCAAAAATATTGCAAAGATGATGATGAAATGAGGGTTTTAAATAAGTGATTTTTCTTACATGCACTCTTCTGTACATCATCAATAGCCTTCAAAATAAAAGTTTTATGGAATGTCAAACTTGGCTTTACCATTGTATCTTCAAGGTATAAGAATATAGGCTTGTGGTTTCAAAATCATGTATTAAATTAACTATAGTGTAAAAATCTGTTTAGAGTTTAAATGAGGAAACAAGTCTTTTTTAGGGTAGCTGCTTTTCAAAAAGTAAATATCACAAGCAGTGTAACTGCAAACTGACTTTATAGCTTATTGTAAATTTTTTTTTTTTTTTTTTTTTGTCTTTTTCTGTGTCTGGCAAACGGATCGCAACCCTCAGTGTTGCCCCCGTACCGGACCGGGGACCGGCAACGGGATTGCAACCCTCGGTGTTGCTCCCGCGCCTCGCTCAGCCAGTGAGCGGGAACCGGTCTGTATGTGGGATCCGAACCCTCGAGCGGGAGCGCCGCCGCGCTTCCCAAGCGGCGCACTATCCAGTGCGCCACCGGGCCGGCCCTTATTTTCCTTTTCTGTATTGAAACAGTTGAGTGAAAAGTCAATGCTTAGATGTCCTAAGCAATTTCTTATTTAGTTTTGTTCTGGTAGTTTTATTTCCCATTAGAAAGATTTCATATTAATTTAGTCCTAAAATGTGAAAAGATTTGGGTTTCAAAAATTAGCACGTTGGTGTTCTGGAGTTTTTTTCCACTAATATGTACATCTAAGGTAATCAGATTACTGCAGTAAAAATGTTAGGGAACTTTGAAATATGCATCGGAGTTTTCAGGAATTATGATCAAAGGGATCTCTCTGCTCAAGAGGTAAGGTATGTCATAGGTAGAAAAATGTTCAAAATATGTTCAATGTAATGTCTGATAAACTACAACAGATATCTTTATATTTTCAGACACATGTAGAAATAGGAAAATAATTTTTCTTAAAACTCTCCCAAAGAGATGGATAAACCACAAATTTGTTTTTGTGTGACTTTCTAGTGCATTTAGAAACAAGTCCGTAGACACTGTTTCCTTTGTGTAGGTAGCCTCTGATATTTCAAGGCATCTCCTACCCTTGCTCTCTTAATGCTTATGATCTATATTTAATATTTCTTAGGCCCTGAACACTATAAAGTTATTGTACTTTGCATGAAAAATTGAGTACATATTCCGTGAGATTACCACCTGGCTTCATTTTGGCTCTGCATGTCTATTTTTATTAAATGATACCTAGAAACTAGAAAATAATCTCTTGACTGAGTAATTTTAATTTTGGTCTAAGAAATTAATTCAAGGAGTTTTATAAACATTCACTTATACTGTAACTCAGAAATCTTTTATTAAGGATTAAGAAATAATATTCAGTATATAAAATCATTGAGAGGAGAGTGTTATACTTCTCTAAGAAATATTACGTAGTTTCAAAGAGTTGAGTGTTAATATACTTAGTATATCTAAAAACAATGGAAAATGCAGTATTGAATATGGATAAGAAAGGAATATGGATGAGGATTTTTTTTCTAGAATTAAAGTGCTCAATATAATTATAGAATATAATTTACTCAATAGATGGTAACATAAAAAACAATAATCTTCCATCATGTGTTTGAATTCTTTTTATATGAACTCCATATTGTGGACATTTCGCTTTTACTTAAAATAATTTGCCATTTATTCCATTTTCCCCTTTATTGAGAACAAATGATGATGTGAATTAGTGATAGTACTCACCATTTCCTGAGGTAGCTGGTTCCACGTTCAGGATGCTCTGTTTGTAAGAAGTTGATCCAGAATTTATTCCCATGCCATTTTTTATTTGAAAATTATCTTAGGAATTAACTAGCTTAGCACCCTCATTTTACATACAAGATAATTGATATCAGAAATATACATTTCTAATATCACACTACTGATAAACAGTAAGTTGTCTGTAGGACTCAAGTTTCTTGACTACCAGCTTAAAGATTGTACCACTTTACTAGCTCCTCTTGTTGATCCTGGTTCTGGCAGCAGAGGAAGTCTGATCCCTTTCAGCTATGACAGTCTTCAAAACATCTGTTAATTTCCCAGCAATTCTAAGCCCAAGTTTTCTTTTCTACAGATAAAGCATCCCCCATGTTCTTACCCCTTATTCATGTAGCATGGTTTTGAGATCTTTTAAGGTTTTGTAGATCTTCTCTGAGAATACTTCAGTTTCTCATTATTTCTCTTAGTGTGTGACACTGAACCAACACAGTGCAGATGTGCTTTGCCTGGGCTGTTATTACACATGACATTATGTTGTGTTTGGCCCTGGAATACTCATACCACTTTGTCCTTACATATTTATCCAGTAAGATGCTTAATTTTATGCGTGTTGAGATTCTCCTAGGCAAAGAAATTATATAGTGGTATGCAAAATACACTGTTTTTAAAAATCAGGCTCTAGCAAAAGACTATGATGTGCAGTTTTAGTAAAAGAAAAAAATTAACTCAAGGTAATAGCTAAGATCTTGGGAAATCAGATACAAAAGTACAATCTCTGTTATTTTTGGTTTGCTTAATTCTGACTTAAATAACTAGAAATTCTACATTAAATGACTTGTATAGTATAAAATGTTTTTCAGGTTGTCCTTGATAATTTAAAGGTAACCAGGCCCTTTGGAGCCAAACTATTGTCACATGACTGGCATTGAGAAGAAAATGAACTTGTGTTTCGTAACATAATTAAAATTAAAAATGAAAGGCCGTGCTTCAGTGGAAAATTTGGGAAATATACCAAACAGCAGAAGATGGTGAAGAAGTAGCTCTGGAAGTCTGAGAATGTGCCCTAAATATCTAATGCAAGCATAGTCTTGTGTTGCATCTTGAAATATAGTGCAAACACTCTGCTAAGAAACATTATTTTGGTAAATTTTGTTTTTAATTACCGGTTAAAATGTTTAAGATACCCCCTCCCCTGCCAATCTTAAAATGGGCTCTGGGAAGACATGAAGTATTTACTTCATTGTTTCATATACATCTAAGGGCACAAATAGCCCCGTTTGAGAAACACTAGTTGAGATAGGCTATATTATGCCTTACCTGAGTTAGGAAGAATTTGGGGGAAAATAAAGAGGAAAAGAGCAAGCATTTGTAAGTACATAGCTACTCTGTACCTTTGCTATGTGCTTTATATTTATTTATCTTAATTCAGCTAACCTGAGAAAGGTGATAAATTTTCCATTTTACACATAAATATACTGAAGCTCAGAGGTTTTAAAACTTGCCCAAGAGCATATAATCAGTAAGCAATAAAGACGATATTTGAAAGTAGATCTGCTAATCTAAATCTAAGGAATTCTGTTGCACCATTGATTGCTAAAAAGAATATATTCAGGAAAATTTCATATAATCGTATAAAACCCCAATGTCTCAAGTAGATTATTTTATGTAATATGCATTTTAATAGACTTCTTTAAAAGAGCAGTTTTAGGTTTATAAAAAAGTTAACCAAAAAGTGCAGAGTTTCCATATACCTCTTTAGCCCCTCCTGTAGTTTTCTTACCATCTTGCATTAGTGGGGTACATTTTTTATAATTGATGTGCCAATATTGATACTTTAAAATCCATAGTTTACATTAGAGTTCAGTCTGTCACATGGTTTTATGGGTTTTCCTAAATACATAATGTCATGTATTCACCATTACGGTATCATATAGAATAGTTTAACTGCCCCAGAAGTGCTCTGTGCTCTCCCTATTTGTGTGATTGCTGGATCATAAGCCTATACTTACCACTATAACATAGAGACTGCCAGATTGTATTCCAAAGTGGGTTTGGATGGTTAGTTCAGTTGGTTAGAGCATGGTGTTAGAATACCAAGGTCAAGGGTTTGGATCCCTGCACCAACCAAATGCCAAAAACAAAAAGTAACAAAGGCCGGAATGGCTGTACCATTTTGCATTTTCACCAGCAGTGAATTTGAGTTCTGTTGCTCCATGTTCTTACCAGCCTTGGGTGGCATCAGCATTTGATTGTACCCAGTCTAATAGGGGTGCAGTGGTATCTCATTGTTTTAATTTTAATTTGCAATTTCCTGGTATATGGTGTTGAGCATTTTTCATATGCATTTTTTCCATCTCTTCATCTTTTTTGGTGAGGTGTCTGCTTAGATCTTGTGCCCATTTTCTAAAATCAGTTAATTCTTATTGTTGAGTTTTAAGAATTCTTCATATATTTTGGATACCAGTATTTTTATCAATATTTTCTCCCAGTCTGTGGCTTCTTGTTTCATTCTTTTAACAGTGTCTTTTGTAGAGAAGAATTTTTAATTTTAGTGAGGTCCAACTTACCATTTTTTTTCTTTAATGGGTAATGATTTAGGTGGTGTATGTAAAAACTCATTGCCCAAGATCACCTAGATTTTTTTCCTGAGTTATATCTTCTATAAGTTTTTTACAGTTCTGTGTTTTACACTTAGGTCTATGACCAGTTTTGAATTCATCTTTGTGAAAGGTGCAAGGTTTGTGTTTAGATTGAGTTCCCGGGGTGGGGGTGGGGGTGGGGGGATGTGATGTTCACTTTTTCCAGCACCATCTGTTGAAAAGACCTTTTTCCTCCACTGCATTGCCTTTGCTCCTTTTTCAAAGATTAGCTGACTATATTCATGTGGTTCTATTTCTGGGCTCTCTGTTTCATTCCATTGATCTGTTCTTTTGCCAGTACCATCCGGTCTTGAATACCGAAGCTTTTTAATAAGACTTGAAGTTGGTAGTTTTAGTCCTCTGACTTTGTTCTTGAATACTGTGCTAGCTATTCTGGATCTTTTGCTTTTCCATATAGACTTTCAAAAAAAATTTGTTTATATCCACAGAATGACTTACTGAAATTGTGATTGGGATCATGTTGAATCTGAAGGTCAAGTTGGGAAGAACTGACAACTATGTTGTCTTCCTATCCATGAACATGGAAAATTTCTCCATTTATTTAGATTTTTGCTTTTTTGTCAGCATTTCTTAGTTTTTTCCTTATGTAGATCTTATGTGAGGTCATATTTTGTTAGATTTATACCTAAGAATTTTTTTTATGTTAATGGTTATTGTGTTTTTAATTTCAAATATTAATGTT